AAGAAGCTACAAATTTTCATAAAAAGTTCCATGTCAATGCTAATACTTTACAAAAGCGTTTTAAAATAACTAAGGAACAAGCTAGACAAATAATAAAACAATGTCAAAATTGTGTGACCTTTTTACCACAAGTTAATCTTGGAGTCAATCCTAGAGGATTGATACCTAACCATATTTGGCAGATGGACATCACACACTTGCCAGAATTTGGAAAATTAAAATATTTGCATGTTACAATTGATACTTCTTCTGGATTTTTGATGAGCTCCCTTCATGCCGGAGAAAAAACTAAAGATGTTATAGCTCATTGCTTACAAAATTTTGCCACTGTGGGTGTTCCAAAACAGTTAAAAACAGATAATGCCCCTGGTTATACTTCTACCTCTTTTAAACAATTTTGCTCAACATTTGGCATTACTCATATAACAGGAATCCCATACAATCCACAGGGACAAGGCATAGTTGAAAGAGCTCATCAAACTATTAAAATGTACTTATTAAAGCAAAAAGAAGGAATTGGGAAGGGGTATATATTCCCCAAAGATAAACTTAAAATAACCCTTTTTACTCTAAACTTTTTAAATTTGGATTCATCAGGACTTAGTGCTGCGGCAAGGCATATGTGTCCAAAAAATGTGCATAAGCCCAAGGTACTTTGGAAGGATATTCTAACAGGACAATGGAAAGGTCCTGACCCAGTAATTGTCTGGAGTCGGGGGTCTGTTTGTGTGTTTCCACAGGGAGAACAGCAGCCGATTTGGATTCCAGAAAGATTAACTAAAGCGATTTCTACAGACCAAAAAGAAGATGATTTGGCTCAAATCCATAACAACTGATATCCAAAACTCCAGTTTGGCTATTCTTACATCTGCAACAGAACCAGGATGCTTTTTTCAATATCTATTTTATTATTGCCCTTTGCCATATCATGAAGTTCTATTTTGTTTTTTGAGCTCATACAGACCTAGGTTAATGTTTTGCTGATCAGTTCTATTTTTTGACTATAGAGTTTTTAAACATTGCAATGGAGATTTCACCTGTAAAAAGTTATAAGGCCTTTACTATAATGTTATGTGTTGTATGTATTATATTATGTGTGCACACTTGTGTTTTGTGTTATATGTTTGAATGTATGTATGTCCATATATCATATATGATGAGCGCTCATGATAAAATGGATCCAAATATTTTTTTTCACGTGATTTATATGGTTTAATTTAAATTGGGTAAACAACTGTTGAGGATTGTTTTAATATGTGAACAAAAAAGGAGGTTAACAGATCTGTTTGTTTACTTTCACCTTTCCTTTTCATTATATTTAATAATTCTCTTAAAGACAATGTAAATTGTTAAGAAAATTGTTTTCTTTTAGTGCCTTCTGGAATGTTACATAATTTTTTCTTTAGCCATTATTGCCAGAATTCCTATCTTCATCCCAGTGCTGGTGAAGTCAAAGATAAAACCAATCTACAGCTTCTGCAATAGCCATCACTGAACTGCTTGCAGAACTTGCCTGGACACATTGTGAACTCACCTGTATGCATTGTGAACTATCTGTTGGTGCAGCGACTTGTGGTAGTGTTGGGGTATTTCTGCTGATGATGTCATCGGTGGTACAATTTTTCCAAAAGGAGCCGTCAATTGGCTTGGTGTATCTTCCTCTCTTCTGCTTGTCATGATCGTCCAGCTAAAATTTGGGGGCCAACAGAGGTGAGGCAAAGAACCTCACCCCCCCCCAGCTGGTACAAAGACCTCTCCACAGGTGTGGCTGTATACTGGACCGGTAGTCAGTGACGGGTAAGATCCAATTGCAATGGTACCAACCTAACGGGTAAGGACCATATGTACTATTGGACAACCTAAGGCAGGCACGGTCCCTAAGCCACATGCTTGTTGTTTAAACAGAGAGGGGGAGATGTTGAGAGCCACAGCCGAAGGGGCCCCAGCAAACTTCCAGCTGCCAGCAAACTTCCAGCTGCCGGCTGATGATTGGCTCACAGCGGCCCCAGCAACATCTAGCTGATTGGCTCCTCTGCGGTGATGCTCATTGGGCTGTTTCCCTGCCCTTTCAGACCACGGGGCTGCTCATTGGGGGACTTTTTTGGCTCCGCCCATGTGACCCAGCCAATCGGCCTCAAGAGCAGGAGGATTGTGGGAGGTGGAGAGAGGCTTGTGTTGGAGAGAGAGGCTTGTGGGAAGCCGGTGGTGGCAGTTGGGGCTCTGAGGGTTTTTCCTGAGAGGCTGTGTTGTTTGGCCTGTGTGGTTCTAAAAATAAAGTTAGTTTCTTTTGACAAGTGGCTCCTGATTGTGCCCAGCCAGACTGCAGCAGGGTACAAATGTTCATGTGTGTTCGTTTGAAAAAGCAATGAATGGTTTCTGATTCCTTAAGGAGAAATGACCATAATTCAGAATTACACACCAAAGTGTTCCATCCCCAGGGCCCTGAGGGACACTGGGTAAGATCAGCCATCATACACCTGCTTCCCAGAATGTCACCTCAGTCAAGGAAGTGAGGGTACAACAGAGACAGTGTGGAATCTTTTTTTTCTCTTATTTTTCTTACTGGTATAGCCCCAGCACCTGAAACAATACCTATCACAGAGTATGAATGAATCACTGAATGAAAGAATCTGAAATACAGTGGGCATTATTAGGAATAGGAAGTCATAACTGAGAAAAGATGGTTCCTTTGAATTGGTAGGAACTTTTTTAAAAAAAAAAAGAGAACATGTCACATATATTTGTATTCTACTGTCCCCTCTGAAATCTCCTGGGAAGAACAGCCAAGAGTCTAGGGAGCCAGGATGTTGCACATTCCCCTCAAAGTCCATAGAACAGCAGAGCTGGGAGGGCCAGATGCAGACCTGAAGGCCTCTCTCTCCTTGTACAGATGATAAAACTCGGTTCCAGAGAGGGAGGCTGACACACTGCAAGTCACATATCCAGCAGCACCCTTGGTCCCCACACCAGCAAGAGCTTCTTTCTAAAAGCTGTGTGGTCCAAATGAAAGAGCAAAGAGGATGAGATGGGAGGAGACAAACCAGACAGCCATGATGGACTATGTCCTGCTGGGGCTCCATGGGCACCAAGACCTAGAAATGGTCCTGTTTGTGCTTTGCCTGGGCATCTACTGCATGAATCTGCTGGGGAACTCCCTCCTCATGGTGCTGATCATGCTGGACCCCCACCTGCACAACCCCATGTACTTCTTTCTCAGCTACCTCTCCCTCATAGACAACTGTGGCACCTTCTCCTTCATACCTCTCATGCTCACCAACTTCCTACAAACCAGAAGTACCATCTCCTTCCCAGCCTGTGCCCTGCAGATATTCTTGACCCTGGCTTTGGGCACTACAGAGTGCCTGCTCCTGGCTGCGATGATCTATGACCGTTATGTGGCTATCTGCCACCCACTCAGGTACACAGAGCTCATGACTGGACAGATGTGCATGCAGATGGCAGCGCTGAGCTGGGGGACAGGCTTTGTCAACTCACTGCTACAGTCCATCCTGATCTGGTGCCTCCCCTTCTGTGGCCACAACGTCATCAACCACTTCTTCTGTGAGATTTTAGCAGTGCTGAAACTCGCCTGTGGGGACATCTCCCTTAATGCCCTGGTATTGATGGTGGCTACAACCATCCTGACAGTGACCCCTCTCTTGCTCATCTGCCTCTCCTACATTTTCATCCTGGCTGCCATCTTTCGGGTTCCCTCTGCTTCAGGCAGGTGCAAAGCCTTCTCCACCTCCTCTGCACACCTCACAGTGGTGGTGATTTTCTATGGGACCATCTACTTTATGTACCTCAAGCCTAAGGCAAAGAATCCCAATGTGGATAAGATTATCACACTGTTTTATGCAGTCATGACACCCTCACTGAACCTCATCATCTACAGCCTAAGAAATGCAGAGGTGAAAGCAGCTGTCACAGCTCTGCTTGGGGGAGTTCTGTGCACCAGGAAATTAGCCAACTTTACCATTGCCCTCTGTCTCTGTCAGGATGAACTAACCTATCTCGTGGTAATGGCCTCCCTCATATTTCAGTGGCTTAAAACCAATCGATTTCTTGTTTATGCCCCAGGTCCATAAGGACTTAGTTGGGGTTCTGCTCTGAATCCTTATCTTCTCCTTTCTGGTACCCATAATGACAAAGCAGTTACCATCTGCAACATGGCTAGGCATCACAACAAAAGGAGAAGAGAAGGTAACACAGCCTGAACTGACCTTAGTTCCCACTCAGAAGTGACACATGCTACTTCCACTCACACTCCTTTGATCAACACCAGGCTCATGGTCACATTTAACATCAAGGACAGGAGATTCACATGGAGAATGTGTGTGATAGGTCAAAAGGACTGAGAGGTTTGTGAGTACCCAATGACCATACGCTATGCTGCAGCTCCTATCCAGGTGCTCGTAGAGATTTGGTTTCCTTTTCCTTCATGGTGTTTCCTTCACAGGCTGCTGCCTGATCAATCATCTCAAGAAAGCCCAGCTTAGCTCACTTATAGCTCTCCAATGGGTCATCCAAGCTAGATTGGAAATGTGCTTCTTGGGATTTCCTTCCCTTATGGGTGGGCTGTGTTTGCCCATAAGGTAAATGCACATAGGGTGGAAGGCAAAGGTGAACAGCACCAGGCCTTGGGGGACATTGTGTTACCAATGCACTGGCTCTCCTAGTTCTGGCCATGTTTCCTCCTTCAGCTGTCCTCAGTCTGGGCCAGGTTCAGCTCCATTGGCAAAAGGTGCCAGCTACTCCCTCAAGTCACCTATGTCAATGAATTTGAAGGCACTGAGAGCCAGACACTGGTCATCCTGGGTTCTCCGTTGCCCTTCCTCTCCCCCTTTCACACTCAATTTTCCTTTTGACTGCCAGCCAGGAGGCCTGGAGCAACTTTATGCCCAACACCTAATGCAGAGGTACCAGTTTTCATTGGTTTCTCCAGCTGTTCCCATGACTGTGTCCATCTAGTCTCTGAATGAAATTTCTTACATCTCTCATAGTGGTTTTGCCATTTAATGTGAAATCCCAATTGATTTATCACTCTTGTGATCAACAATCTTTCATGGTTCCCCATCACCACAGCATTAAGTTCAAATTCTTTTGCTTAGTCTTCAAGTTCCCCAGAATCTGGCTACATCTGCTTCTTTGGCCTGATTTCCTCTCCCCCTCCACACAGGCTGGCCCCTTACTACATCCTCTGCGCTTTCTCCACCTCCAGGTCTTTGCTCCTGCTGTTCTCAGTCACCCTGGGATGAGATTTCAAAGCCAGCTCAGACACCATCTCTTTCATGCAATCTTCTCTGATGCACTTTGAGACTGTCCTCTTTACATCCTATGGCACCTTTCCCTTGGTACTTCATCCTTTCTTTTGTGCGATTTCACCACCATTTGAGTTCCCTCAGGACTGGAAGTCAGCATATCTTACCTATTTCTATAGCCCTCAGGGCTTTCCCAGGAGCAGTTTTTCTGAACTAAATGTTCACCCAGCAGCTCACCATTGGGGCTTGAGCTCTGTGGTGCTGAATGTGCTACAGGCAGTTGCCAGTGGTCAGGAATTAAGAGTGTGGCTGTGTAAAGATATGTGAAATGAGCACTAACACAGCTGACCACAGCCCCATCCTTATAGAAGGCAGGGCTGGTCTGGTTCTTGGCCTGTCACCAATAAGACAAGCTAGGGGAGAGACAAGGGCTCTAGGCCTGGTTTGAGTGCTATACCCAGCCTGGTTTTATTGCTAATCCCCTCCCCCCATGAACCTATAGGCACCTCAAACTCAAAATGTCCAAAATTAAATCATTTTCAACCTCAAGTGGTGGGACCATCTCAGTGACACCATCACCCCAAGTAAGAAACATAGTGGTTATCCTAGACTTTCTCTCACACCTCACCACCTACATGTTCAATCAGTTATTAAGTCCTGCACCATCTATCTCCTAAGAGCTCTTAAAGTGGTCCCCTCCTTTCTACTGATGCCACATAAAGTTTTTACTATTTCTCTCTCAAATAGTGCAACAGTTGTATAACTGCACTCTCATCTTCCAAACTCTCCCTAAAACCTGTCCCCTGCACCAGCCAGTTCCTCATTTCCTATTGAGCAAAGACCAGAACCCACCTACCTGTCCAACTACATCACTGGCTTCATTCCAACAACACCCCACTACACTCACGCACAAATGCACCTAGGCATACACAAACAAACATGGCCCATACACACTGCACTCTTCAGTTTTCTGAGTAAATATCTTTCCTTCCTGCCTGTGTCTCACCCTCAGTCTCCCCCCACATCCCAATACTCCACGGCCTTTGACTAGCATATACTGGATACACGTCACACACTAGCCTAGGGAATATGCTTTGTTCTAAGTTTTTTACTGAAAGGGAACCAGATGGAATGATAAGAATCTCGTGGAAGGGATATAACATGGACTTGGCGACCTCAGAGAACACTCTCCCAACATCTTGGCATTATAGAAATTCATTTAATCCTCATTCAAGCCCCTCATTTCCAGAAGCCCCTTCCAACCCATCCTAGCAGAGTGAGGTGTGTCCTAGCTCGGTTGCCTATTCCAGTGTCTTCTGGATTCCACTAACTCTATCCTGAATCCCAGCTAATTGGGTTCAAGCATCTTAGTAACATGGCTCTATCCAAATGAGTATTGAAAGAAAATAAAATTTCTGATGTAAGAACAGACACCAAGGTCATATATCTTCATTCTCACAATTCATTTGGCCACATCATTCTCTACTAAGTAACTCCAAGGAAGAGATGCGATTGTAGGAGGAGAGGATAAAGGGAGATTTTCCTGGCATTTGAGGATCAAAAGCTTAGTCCCTAAAGGGAACAGAAAAAAACTTAAGGCACAGATAAAAGATTTGGGAGAAAACATGGCAAGTAACAATAAGGCTTCCCCCATCCTCTCCTTAAGATTAACAAATGGAGGAAGAGAAAGGAAGAGGAAATGAAGTGATATCACTGCCACAAAAAGATCCCAAAGGGAGGGGCCCTGAGCCAAGCCCCTGCGTGGGTCTGTAGGATTTAAAAGAGCAACTTATGCCTTGTTTGTCAAGAGAAACTCAGAAAAGGACCCCACAGTAGAAATGGCTTCATGGTGTCCACATAACAAAGGCCTTAGACAATCTTGTAGGTCTTTGCATGTGGCACAGACCTTCAAACCAGAAGGGTTATATAGATAGGAACAAGATCTCTCCCTCATCCAGATGACTTACCTGGAATGCTAACTGGGAACCAAATGGGATGATGGAAGTCTCAGTGGATGGGTGAGGCCATTCTCTCTGGAGGCCAGAGAGAATGCTCCTTTCAACATCAATATCTTGGCATTTTGTAAAACCCTCAGAACTCAGCTATGACCCTGATGAAAATTATTAAATCCTAATTAACAAAAGATTGTTTCTGGTACTCAGAAAAAAATGGAGGCTCAAAATAGAAGTGACATTCTTGTGATATTTCTTGCACAGCTGAACTTTGTACCTGTCACTTAATTTCCTGGCACCTCAGCTTCCTTCCTGTGAGTGTGGGCTTATCATGAAGGAGGTCTGTCTCACTGATTCAAGCATCTCAGCATACACAAACACGTGCATGCTTATATGTGACCAACACACACACACACACACACACACACACACACACACACACCCCTCTTAATTACTGCAGTCTAGGTCCCACAGGAATTGAAAAGTAGGCACCAGGAACTGTTTAGAAATGAACACAGGGACCAGATGAGAGGGATGCAGGAGTGTACATGATAGGGCAGAAGCCTCAGACAGTAGGCTCCCAGCAGCTCCTGTAGGCTGGGGTCCTGTCACCCCTTCTATTACCTCAGGGACCCTCTCCTCCTCTTCTCCCCACTCCCTGAGCCCAGGGGAAAAAGGCAGCACAGAACCAGCACATACTTCATTGGAGACACTCCAGATCCCACCTGCATCAATTCAGGACGTCAGCCACCCAGCCCCAGTTCCAGTTACGTCTGTCCTACAATCCTCCCTTTCCAGCACAGCACAGGCCCAGATGCTGCTTCTGGGAAGGAAGCCTGAGGCCAGAGTTGCTGAGTCTCTGGGAAAATCTTAAGATTCAGTTTCCCCAAGATGGACTCCATTTCCTCTGGAACAATGCCACATTCCTAACAGAGCAGTGTCTCCCTAGTGTCTATATAGGAGGGCTCCATATCCTAGGGGCTCTATGCCCCTAGGAGGGACTCCTTGGTCCTGAGGGGGCTCTCTGCCCTGCATAGCTCCAGTCCTTAAGAAGGACTCCATGGTTGCAGAAGAACTCCAAGCCCTCAGAAAGTTCCCCATGTCCTTGGAAGGGCTCCAGGTCCCTGGAAGAGTTTGATGTCCTTGAGAAATGCTCCATGTCCTCAAGAAATACAACAATCTCTTGGCACCAGGAGGGCTCCACATTCCCAGGAAAATCCCTAGGAAGGGTTCATAACCTCAGGGGCCTGGCCTAAAGCCCCACTCAGCTGGCACAGATGCTGCTGACAGTGGTCCCTCCTGAGCCCACAAGGCCCAGCTCCTCCTGCTCATTGATGCACAGTTGGTATCCACAGCCCCTGGCCCGGGCTCCAGACGGGACCCGGTGGTCAGTCTTGGCACGAGGAGGCAGTAAGAAACCCACGCTGCCAGCGATAAGCATATGCCAAATGCTATGAATGTAGAAGTAGTTGTCCCGGGTCTCCACAAAAGCATACAGGAGGACAGCACTGCCTGCAATAAGGCTGCCTGGGCACAAGTAGAAAAGCCAGCGGCGCCACGTGGGTGGGTAGCAGTGCCGGCGGCGGACGCTGCGTACTGTCTAGGGGAGGCAGAGAAATGGGGCTCAGAAATGTAAGGCCCTGGGACCCAAGCCAAAGCCAGTCATGCTCAGGCTTCCCATGAGCCCTAGCTGTGACCTAAAGGCACCTGCCAAGACTACAGTGTACACGATGAACAGCAGGTGGTAACAAGAATCCATGCCCACCTTAAACGGAGAGCAGATGGCCAGGGCCCTTCATCCAAGTCTTCCTCCCTTGCCTCCCAACACACACAGCCTCCCAGCCCTTACCCAGGCTGTGGCCAAGATTCCCAGAGCGAAGAGACTGGGTCCAAGCAGGTTCCAGAGTCCATGTCGGTCAAGCTGCAGAGCCATGGACAGCAGCATAGCCCCCAGTAAATACAGCACCTAGGGAAAGAGGACTCCGGGGCTGGGCTAATGCCAAGTGACAGCACTCTAGGGACTGGGCCAGAATGGACAGAGGTACTTGGAAAATCCCCCAGGGAGAAGGCAGGAGTGGGTTTCAAGTAGATTTTGGCTATGGTTGTCCCCCAGGGCCCAATCCAAACTGACCTGCTTTACCACGGGCTGTAACCGAGCCATGGCAATGACAGTGACCCACACAGACATTAGGGAGCCCAGGAAATCACAGAACTGTAGCACATCGTAGTCCATGATGCAGAAAACCACAATGCCTGGCTGGTCACAGGCATGATAGAACTGGAGGAAGAAATGACAGGTGTTAAAGGAACTTGGGGCCAAGATCTAGGTCTACAAAACTAGAGAAAGAGGCCACAGGGGTGGTATACTGCTGTCAGAGAAGCAGAGGTGAGAGACCACAGGTGAGAAGAACCAGGAAATGCTCAACTCCCCACTCCTGAGAAGAATGTGGTAAGGAGGCCAGGTCTGCCTCATAAGCCATAAGCATCTGGAAGTTTTGACCTTGGTCCTCGCCTTCTAAATCTTTCCACTTCTGGAATGTGCTGTGAAGTGTGCCAGGCCAGGAGTAGGGGAGCACACATCTCTCAAGATGAGGTCAATCCCTTCCCTCTCTCCTCATGCTCATCATAGGTTCCATCAATAATCGCCATCCCTGGCCCACGCTTTGGGTCTAGCTCTGGCCTCTTTGAAAGCCTAGACCCACCAATTCCCTTAAATGTTCCAGTTTCTCCTGATAGATCGATCGGATTATGAAATGGGCTTCACTTTCAGGACTTGCACACACTGGCCTTCTTCATCCCTTCCCATCCAGTGCCAAGGGGAGCACACAGTAGGCAAAAAGGCAGTCATCAAGGCCCAGGAGAACAACATGGTGCTTCACACCACAGGGAACAATATGGGGACAGTATCCACCTCTCCTACACTACGGAGAATTAATGTTTGACTATGCCTGAGATTTGTTTATTTTTCAGATTTTTCTCTTACACATGCTGATTAATTGTTGATTGATTTTGTTCTTAAACAAATCAACATTTTTATCTTTTTCTATTTTAGCTATAAAACACTGATTATTCTCCACTTCTAAGACCAGATTGTAAGCACTACAGCCACCAAATTACCCAAACTATTTCACATTTTAGAGTGTTTTTTTTTCAAACATCTTTTTATGTTTCAGGCTTAACTAAGCATTTGCTTCATATACATGACTTTCAAGTATATAGAAAGGAATGTCCCAAAGTGTCTGGAAGAAGAACTTGTAATGAATCATTTGATCAAAAATAAAGGAAGATACAGATCAGCAGTGTTGAATTAACCAAATAGTGAAGACACATTAAGAGCCGACTTTCTCTAGGAATTTCTACGCACTGAAAAAAAGACTCGGGGGAATGCATATATTGTCTCTGGAGTAGAGATGTTTTAGAGAAATCACCTCACTGATATTCTGTGACTAGAATTCTCCTAATACAATAAAAAGTCGTAGTGATTGTTTCAGGTTGTGGAAACTCCACAGGAGTAGGGTTAAATTAAATTGCCATGTGAGGGAATTGTTCCATTGAAATGTGTGGGCTTATTTTTAGATTGGTATTTTTTGTCAACAGCAATAAAAAGTGGTAGAAATGACACAGAAAAACGGGAATTTAAAATTTTCCATTACAAACTGGATTCTATTAAAATAATTCTAATCCAAATTAATGACTTTGTCAGATTTGGATACTATATATGAGGACATTTGTACGTTTTATTTCTTAGTTGGTACAGTTATACATAATAGTGGGATTCACTGTGACATATTTATACATGCACATAACACAATTTGGTCAATCTAATTCCTCTTTCACTCCTCTCCCCCTTTTTCTACTGGTCTCCCATCTATTTTCAAGAGTTTCGTGCCCCCATCCCACCTTCTTTCCTTTGTTCTCTCTAGTGTCCAAATCAACCCTTGATATTATAAGTCAAACTTATTTTATTTAACATAATATTCTATCTGAAGTAAATTTGGGAAAATTATCCTAAATTCTTTTTTCTATACAATTTAACATTTTTATAATATAGTTCATCTAATGCTCCAAAACAGGGTACCCATGCACACATTGGGATACTTACACTCAGCATATACTGTAACTTAACTGTCACTCTCATTTTTTTGTTTCCTAAATTCATTTTCTCTTGGAAACACTTTTGGGATTTTGCTAAGGGCCACTGAGAATTACAAGTGGCAGGTCAAGGAACTGAAGAGGTAATGAGAGGGTGGGCTTGCTGCCAGGATGTCAGCAATCAGCAAGGAAGGCTGCATAGCCCACGATGTGGGCTCTAACTGGGCCTTTTGGGATCTGATTATAAGTAGCACTGTGAAGGATCTATGGCTTGCACCGAAGGGGTGAGCACTGCACAATTGCAGTGTTCTTCCTGGTTTGGTTTGGTATATTATTTAAGAACTGGAGAAGGGCTAGGGATGTGGTGCAGTGATACAGTACTCGCCTAGCATGTATGAAGTCCTGGGTTCAATCCCCAGCACTGAAAAAAAAATTTTTTTAAATTATCACACTGGGGCTGTAGCTTAGTGGCAGAGCACTTGCTTAGCATGCCTGAGGCACTGGGTTCTATCCTCAGCACCATATAAAAAAATAAATAAACAAATAAAATAAAGGCATTCTATCCATATACATTTACAAATTTAAAAAAAACTATCACAAGAATGTGGGGAGAACTACTAATCTAAGGTCATGAGTTTATATATGCCAGGATATCAGAAGAACAGAAGTCAGATTAGAAATTTATGAATAATTTCACTGTCCAGGATATCAGAAGAGCAATATATCTCAATGATTATTTGTAAGGGACCTGGAGTCAGGCTGAATGAGAATCTAGGCTCTACCATTCACCTTCTCTCTTAGACAAAGTATAAAACTTTCCTTCATCTACAAAAAGTTAAAATTAAAAAAGAATAAAAAGACCTACCTATTATATAGTTCTACTGTAAGGATTAAATTAGCAGAATGTGACACAACACATATTCAGTACATGTATGTCTTTTTGCTGTTATTATCTGAACTGTTTGGCTACATACAAAATCAACAGCAAGCTTGTGGCCTGTTTTTCCCCCCATATTTCATATCTGTAAACTTTTGAATTATAAACCTGCTCTCTGCTTCTGTGCCCTGGTTAGGAACCCATGTAACAATCCCAGGAGTATAGTATCCTAGATTTTAAGACAAGGAACCTGATTGTCATCTACTGCCCTGGTACTGTCAACTGCAACATGACCAATGCTTCCTCAAATGGAACTGCTGCAGAATGAAACAAGTCTAGACTCCTGAAAGAATGGGAAAGGAGAGACTATAGGGAAACTTCCCTGGAAACTGGATGACCAGGACCTCTCATTTTGGCCCATGTAATAAAAGAACAGGAGTCAGAGAAGGACTCCAGCCAACACCTAAAGCCAGAAGCTCTTCCTTACTCTCTTGCTTCTTGCCTGGTTTGAGAAAGTGGGAGCTCTCTCTCTCTCAGCACTCCTACTAGGGAAAAGAAGGTCTTTTGTTCTCAAGTCAACATGTCATTGAATCCAGAAAAGGAAAGGTCATCCAGCCTAGAACACTCTGGAGCCAATGCCCAGGATGCTTGTGCCAAGTCCAGGGGACTGAATATGCTCTCCCCACACACTCCATGCTCCTGACACACTGAAGCACTCATACCAGTTGTGAATCACATTCCACCTGCATGAAGCCAAGAGTGGGCTGGTGGAACAGCTGTTGCTACAGGATTTGGTGAGCAACAGTATGGAGGGCATCTGGCAATGAGAAGGGGAGACAGTGTCTAATATAAAAATAGAGTGAGCCACTATCAGAGCAGGCCTGAAAAGGGACCCAACCAAGAAAAACTGGGCTATGTTCTTCTCATGCAGCTTAAAGGGTCAAGGTCTGTGCAACATGGTTGTAGCCCACACTTCCTCAACCAGGGACCAGCATTGGGGGTCAGGTGGTAGGACCCTCAGTTTCAGCACACTGGACCTTTACTTTCTCCCAGATGACAAGTAGGTTTTTGTAACGTGGACATATGTCTGATCTAGTAATGCTGGACACCAGGGAGGCACCAGTGGTTTCTGTGGTATCCTTGTTGCCAAGACATGAGGACAGTCTGAATCCCTCTAAGATTCCTGCAGTACTCATGGGCAGGCACTCTATGCCATAAGATGCCAAGAACAGATGAGATGACAAGATCCCTAGATGTAGAATCTTGGTGGGGCATAAAGTCTCCTTTGGGGAAAATCACATTAGTAGATTCACTTCTCTACATTCCCTAATATTTACCTGAAATTTTTGTTTGTGATATGAACTTTTATGGTTAAGAGAAGTAGAAAAATTCAGGGGAGGAATCATGGAGATTCCATTATTGAGAATGGAGGGACTCCAAACTACAAATCTTTCCAGGTATGGTGGCATACATCGTAGCCCTTCACTACTCAAAAGGCTGAGGTGGGAGGATCACTTGAGCTCAGGAGTTCCAGACAAGCCTGGGTAACATTGTGAGACCCCATCTCAAAACAACAACAACAAAATTCTACAAATCTATATCAAAATGCACTCCTTTGAGCTGGGATTTTAGATCACATTGCCATATCCCACGATATCTCAGGACCAAGTATCTGAGACCCAGGCTTTCCTACATGTCTCTAAATCTCCTCTGCCTTCCAGAAGTTCCTATGAGAAGTCAAGAAGCCCATGGTGACTGAATGGGAGACATATCTTCATGCGCTACAGATGAACATGCTAAAGATAATAGAAATTCCCCCAGGATGATTGAGAACATGAGCACAAAGGAGCTAGAGCTCATATCAAGAAAGAACATGAGGGGCTGGGGTTGTGGCTCAGTGGTAGAGCGCTTGCCTCAAACCATACAACCCTGGGTACAATCCTCAGCATCACATAAAAATAAATAAATAAAAAATAAAGATATTGTTTCCATCTACAACTAAAAAATTTAAAAAAAAAGAAAGAAAGAACATGATGGTGAAGACTCAATGCAAAGATATGGGTAAAAGCATAGATTTCCTGTCCCCACCCAGAGGAGATCAGAGTGAAGGTATAGACATACTTCTGTATTGTCTCCTGGCCAGTGTGCTGAATAGAGTTGTCCTTGGCCCTCCAGAAGAACAGAGTATGGGGCAGCTAGAGTCTCACCCTGTTGTATTCAGTTGCAAACAGCTTTGTTCATTTTTACCCCAAGGTCTTTACCAAAACTATCACTTTCAATGCATGCCATGGGAGGTTGGAATACTATTATAAAAGCCATCCTAAAGGTATGCATCCCCCAGCCTGTAGAGAACATGATGGAAATGCAGACCCTCATGCATCACTATGGACAAGAACATGGTAAAGAGAAAGATGCATCACATACCGTTGAGAAGAACATGGTGAAGGTGTAGACGGCAGCTTCTAGCACATACCGGCTCCGAATGGCCAGGATCACAGGTGGCAAAAACATGAGGTTGCTTAGGCAGAGTAGAAGCGTGGACAGCAGCTGGAATCCATAGGTGAGTGCATCGGCACTGTCGGTACAGCCCCAGCCCCGCCACCCTGTAGGTAGGGAGGGCACAGGGTAGAGAACAGGAGGTAGCCACAAGTTCAGCAGATACTTCTGCTGGCCCCCAGAGTCCTAAGCCCATGTTGGGGCCCAGCATTTCCCCACTCCAAGCCACCTCCCAGGGTCAGGAAGGCCAGCATGCCCACTCCCTTGCCAGCATGCTCACCAGCCTTGCACTCGCAGGCTGCATATAGGTAATTGTGTGTACGCAACAGCTTGCACTGGCCGTAGGGTCCACAATCATCCACACACGGGGACAGGAAAGTGCGCAGCCGCACTTCAGCAGTTGCGTTGTGACACCGCACAAACCTGTACACACAATGACTGTTACCTGGAGCCGGGGTCTTCCCCACTCCACCCCCATCCATGCTGCACTGCTCACCGAGACCCTACACCACACAAGGAGCGGAGAGTCAAGAACCAGGTCCCTGTCTGTGGAAATGGGATACGTAGCCTGGCCATTCTGGAGGTGGCACTGACTGAGAGCAGGAAGCCAGCCAGGGATTCTGAAGAGGGAAGGGAGAGGGAAGAAAGAAGAAGCATGAGAGACAGGGAGGAGAAGCAGTCAGCCTGGGGTCAGGATCCAGGAACCTTCTACCCACCTTTACCCACTGCCCAGAGACCCTGTCCTTCCTCCACACCATCTCCCACCAAGCCCAGACATCAGCCTCCTCTCCCTCCTACTCCTCACCCCACCTTTGGAACAGGTCACTGCAGCATCCCCCAGGCTCAAAGGCACCTCATGAGTCAGGCATCCGAACACTGTCACATTTTCTTGGCGCACAGAGCTCTGTAGGAAAAGGTATTGAGATGAGGTTGTCAGATTCTTCAGGTGGGTCCACCACCTCCCGCCAGACTCCTACACCAGCCACCCTTCCAGACCTCACTGGACCTCACTTAATCTAAGGCAAGGTTTGCCTGCCACTCTGGTCAGACTACCTCAGATCATTTATTTCAGAGACAGGATGACCAGTAGAAGTATGACCAGAGAAGAAGTGGCAGATAAAGAGAGATCTGAATAGTAGGGGCCCAAGTCACCAAGGTTGTTTCAACTTTGGGGAATCTAAAGGGAAACATCAGAGGGCTGTTAAAATACAATAGGGATATAGTGAACACACCTCACCAAGATCAGATGTCAGTAACAGGGAACACTGTGCAGACAGAGAAGGGCATTGAACTGAGTACTTTCTGCTCACTCTATAAACTAAAACTGCGCTAAAAAAGTAGTTTATTAATTTTATTTTATTTATTTATTTTGATGCCAGGGACTGAACTCAGGCGCACTCAACCACTGAGCCATATCCCTAGCCCTATTTTGTATTTTATTTAGAGACAGGGTATCACTGAGTTCCTTCGCAGCTTGCTTTTGCTGAGGCTAGCTTTGAACTCAAGATTCTCCTGCCTCAGCCTCCCAAGCTGCTGGGATTGCAGGCATGTGCCATTGTGCCTAGCACGTCTATTAATTTTTTTAAAAGGACAGGGATAGATTTACTAGCTATGACTTCTGAGCAAGACAAAGATAAAAAAAAAAAATCTTGCAGGCAGACTTTGACGGAATGTCAGAAACATCACTGGCAAAAGGAGCTACCCAAACAAGGACTGCCTGGCCACAAGAAGTGGTGAGCCCCTCTTTACAGAAGATATGCAAGAAAAAAATGAACAATTACCAATTACCATTAGAGAGGCCCTCTGCAAAGGCAGTCAGCCTACAAAAATGGAAACTCAGACCACTCTGAGTTGCCCTGGCTGACCCAGCCTGTTCTCAGCAGAGTCAATATGCAGAGCATGCTTTCTGACCAAAACTGGACTGAGACAAGTTCTCTTAAAATGGGAGCACCGTCTTGTTGGATAGGTGGAAGTGACCCATTCAATAGCTTAGGTGGAAGCAGTCTGGACTGGCTTTTTGGAGGAAGCAAGGCCCTCCACACCTCTGACACCTTCCCCTTCAACTCCCCCACAGGACAACCACTCCATTCTACAAAAGAGTACCGCATTGAGCTGGAGCTCCAGGCTGAGGACACCTCCACTGTCCAGAACTGGCAATAGCCTCAGGGCAAACACAGCTGGGCGCTCAGGTGGAAGAGCCACACTGGGTCCAAAGAAGATGTAGAAGTGGACAGAGAAGGTGTCCAGCTCATTGCGCAGAGTCGGGCGCACTGGCCAGCAGTGCTCAGGTGGAGATGTGGCCTCAGGCCCCTCTGCAGGAGTCCTCAGGGATGGTGGCTCTGGAGGAAGTGGTTGGTTGCCCAGTGATTGAGGCATATTCATAGCAGCTCCAGGGACCAGGGCACGGGACAGACTGGGCTGTGGGCACTCTGTAAAGCAGAAGAAACCAGAGCTGACACCTGTAGCCCTCACAGCCCTACAGCCACACCACAAACCAGAACTGAGCCAGACAGGAATTATCAAAGGATATGAGGGGTAAGAACTAGAATATGATATCTCTTGGGAGTGTAGGGCATCCAGCTTGCAAGACAGGGTCCAGGTGTTTCCCAGTGGACACAGCTAATATAACATCATGTTGAAGGAATCAAGGTCATATGTCCCTCCCCTAAGGGCAGTGAAACACTGTTGAAACAGGTAACTAAGTATGACAGACCGTCTCACTGAATTGCATGGACTTTGGCAATGATAGTATCCCCAGAAATCCTAGCTGTTCCTGCCTACCCCAGGAAATTGAAAGAGGTTTAAATCAAGAAAAATAATGAAGAGTCATCAGCTATCTCAAGGCAGGTGCAAACAATGATCTCAATGCCATTAATGATTTGGAGGCCCAAATTGTGGGGGATTCAGGGAATGTGAAGAAACCTGGGTGGGATGGGGAAGATTGTAGAGATATGGCAGAGGGTCACTGAACGCAGCAATCCAGATCATTTCCCAGTCATGGATGTTTGCACAGGCTGAGTGACTGGGGTACATGTGAGGGTTCTGACCTTGTAGCCACACACATAGCTGGAAGCGGATGGTCCTGCCAGGGCCCCGGTATGATGTCTCCACACGCACGTAGACCCAGTGCCCCCAGGGGGGCAGTGCCAGCTCCAGCTGGCATACTGAGGCACCGCCACAGGCCACGGAGCTTGAGTTGTGCAAGGGTGGGGCCTTGGGACGTAGGCGCAGTGTCAGAGGGCAGGCAGACACCCCTCGGCCCCCCACACACACCAGCTGCGCTGAAACCCTGTAAGTAAAGCTGGGCACAAAGACCCTGGGCAGAGGAGAGGTTGGGGGCAAGAAAGGACAGTGAGGTGAGAGGGACACCAGAAGGAGGGAAACATGAGGAAGAAGGGAACAGGGAAGGGATAGGAAACACAGGAGCATAGGTGGCCTTTTCAAGTCTTGCCCTCTATGCTAGAAAAGAGGAGGCAGGAATCCAACCCACCCTGGGGGTTCTGGGTCACCCAGCCATCTAGTTCAGCCAGAGGATGAACAGGACCAGGCAGGTAGCTGAGAAACCAAAACAACCCTGCCATCTGCTTAAGATCCAACATGGAAGTGAAAAGGGGCCCAGTATAGAGTATTTGACTTACTTGTACAGAGCTGAGCGATTGTGTGGAAAAAGGGTTTGCTCTGAGGGTCGGCCAGGAACCAGTACAGCCACGTCCAGCAAACGCCGGACAATCAGCTGCGGTTGAAGGAGATACTGACACTCATCCTGGAGACCCTGAGACAGAAGCAAGGGTGGCAGGAGCAGGAGAGACAGCAGGGGTGCTAGTAAACCAAAGCTAAGGAATCTGCTAAATAGATTAGAGAGAACCCTCCCTGCCCATCCCCCTCCCCTGTCCACCTGATCCCTGGGCTCTGACTGTGGTCTTTCTAAGCTCTGGTCCTTCCTGCCTGAGCAGTCATTTCTGATCTCCTCTGTCTACCGGGGTCTTCAAAGTCTGCTGTGATCCTCAGCACTGACAGATTTGGGGACTTAAGCCCAAACCCACCCAATAATCAGGCCCTTGTGCTTCTCCCAACCCAACCCTCTCTCTTTAGCATTCCTATCTAGCCCCAAGATGCTGTAATTTCAAACCACCCCATTCCCTGACCAGAACACTGGCTCTCTGGGGGGTGGGGGTCAGGGGAAGCTCATTCAAGCCTTCCTAGCCAACTCCCACCACCACCACCACCACCATCTGAATCATTCACTGCTTTTATGTCCCACCTTGTTCCCTCCCTTGTCTAGTTTCTGCTTCGATACTCCCAGTGAGGGTTACTCATCACCTCTCAGGCAACCTCCATACTCTTTGTAACTTGAATACAAGAAACTTTGTTTTATTTTATTTTTGTTCCTTCAGATATAAAGCCAAATGTAGTATACAAAATACATAATAAATATCTGTTTAATAAATGAATCAATAGGGGCTGGGGTTGTGGCTCAGCAGCAAAGCTCTTGCCTCGCACATGTGAGGCACTGGGTTCAATCTTCAGCACAACATGAAAATAAATAAACAAAATAAAAATAAATAAATGAATCAATAGTGAAACATACCAGCTTGGGGCAGCTCGAACATTTTTGAAGCCAAAACCTATCATCTTTGAATCCCCTTCCCACCTCTCTGTCCTTGAGACCCACAGTTACACCTGTCTCCTCAGCCTGAGACTATTTATTCTGACACTGGAGGACAACATTTCCCCCAGCTTATCTTGTCCTGGACAATTTACCTAGCCCATTCTTCTCTACTGCACTGACACCACCCCAGCCAACTGAGCCCCATTACTCCAGTGAACACAGTCCCATTTGTTATGGTGCCTCTTCTCCAGCATTTTCAGATACATAATTCTAAAAACCTAACAGTTAAGGGACAGAGTGGTCTCCTAATTTGTTTCCTATAATCTTCTGGACAAATGGTCTTCTGCTGGCCGAAGAAAGTAAGGCCATGACCCACTTATGTGGTTATTCTGACCAGGACATACCTCCAAACCTTGTTCTGAAATAAAATTTCTAGGCCCTGACATTCCATTGAGTTTCATGCCATGGAATAATCCAGTCAAGATACTGACTCCCTGCCAAGTTCCATGAGGTTGGAAGGAGGCCTTGAGAGATGATAGCCAGAAGATCTCACTATCCTCTTCCTGGAACAAGAATGGCATCCCCAGTGCCTAGCATGGATCTGGCACACACTGGGTGCCGAAGAAAAACAGCCATCAAGTTGAAATAATAGCCATCAAGTAAGTTAAGTGTCAAAAGAGGGTTCTTCCAAAGAGCTACTGAACAATCTAGTTGCTCACAAATTTCCCTCTCTGATATACAAAGCACATGTCTGTCATTTATGGTGTCATACCCTAAGGATCAGAAATACTCTCAACAAGGCATTTCAGTGGCCCCACCTCTTAAGTTGGAAATCACCACAAAAATCTTTCAGTGAGTGAGTCCCGACGGTGGGGCTCATGCTCAGGAAGTAGCCCATTTCCTTGCTAGACAGTTCAGGGATATAAACACTGCTCCACATTTTGTTTGCTATTTGCTGTGGGCTTCAGTAAGGATCATATGACATGACTTCTCTAGTTAAAATGGGCTTCTTCCTTCAACTGTAAAACATGCATGTGCAGCCCCTTCCCTCGATATGGAATAGAAAACAGAGAAGTTACAGGGCAGAGAAAGGGCCCAGAAGTCAGGTCCTCAAGAACTGACAAGGCAGAAACCATGTAAGAGAGTTCAGACTAAATCAACAGACCAAGCCAACATTAACAGCCATGGAAGGAACAGGTTCAAAGCAAAGAAACTCAAGAAACCAGAGAGTCAAGAATTAGAAGTAGATGAGAAACAATCTGAATGATCCTGGTGTGGAAGACAAGGTAGATGGATTCTGGAATGTCTTTGTATGGGTGAGCTGCATTTCTTTAAAAGATGGAAGATGCCCAAAGAAACTTGGCCTTCTCTGGAAATAGCCTATTATTGGCCCAGCTCCCTTGCCCACAGTTGTCAGCACCAACTCAACAGGAAAGTAAATGATGGCCAGAGAGACTGCAAGGGGCAGAAGCAGAAGCAGGGAGACCATTTAGGAGTTTAACATGGTGACCCAGGAGAAAGCTAAGAGAAGGTACACTAAGAGTGGAAATGGATAAAAATGGAATTGAAACACTTTAGAAGTTGACAAAAAAATTTTCTTTATGGATTGGTTATGGAGAAAATAGGAATCAAGACAGTGACGTTTACTAAGAAGATAGCTGGAAAAAGAAGAGGCTTGGATTGGAAGAAGTGAAATGGGAATCAAAGAGTTTTTTACCTTTAACTTTGCTTTGATTTGTACATACTAAGCTTGAAACATTTCTTGGACATCCAATTGCAGATGCCAAATAAGCAGTTGAAAATTGAGTTTGAGATTCAAAGAAATTAGGACTGGCTGCCTACTCTTAAAAGGCATTAACTCATAGATGATATTTTAAACAATTGTGCTGGTTACACCAAGCAAGAGAATAAAAAAATAAAAAGGAGGTGTTCTAGGACCATTCATCAGATCACTACAGTACATACAGATCAAGCAGAGAAGCAGCCAGGAAAAGAGAAAGAGAGGGGGTCAGGGGTAGTGGGAAGGAGAACAAGGACAGTGCTATAATGTTACAAAGGTCAAGAGGAGAAAGTACTTCAAGAAGGAAAGAGTAATATAAGAAACTAGTTAACAGCTGATTACAAGTTAACTCTGAGGAGAGAAACTGGGAACTGGGAGGAGAAAAAGGGAAGACTTACTTTTCACTGTACGCCTTTTGTACCATTTGAACGTTGTACCAGGTGCATATATTACCTATTTGAAATATATAAATACAATAACTTAGAAGGAGGAGGAAAAATAGCAATGGTACTATTAGTAGATTTGAACCACTTCAGGTGAGATTGAGTCAAACTTAGTCCTAGTTAGTGGATCGAACAGGTTCTTTTCCTCCATAAACTCAGCTTCTTTGTTTTCTTTTTGGTTGTTTTCTTTATTTCACCTTTTATTTAGTTTCAAATTTTAGACCCAGAAGAGGAAGGCTTTGAGGAGAACCTACACCTATCCATGTAGGAGAAGTTTCTCCTTATGAAGTATCCTTATGAGCCATTTGGGTGCCAGCTGAAATCTACAAGCCAAAGGCCAGCCTCTCCAGGCAGGCTGGCAACTAGGCACTGTAGAACGAACACATTCTTCAAGACAGGAAAGGCAAGGATATTGGGAACAGGGAAACAAGACAGAAGTGGTTGACACGAAGAAGGCAACAAGGGAAGGAGGAGAAATTAAGTCAGTTTGGGATATAAGAGTTTGAGAAGGTGGCAGGAGGGCAAAAAAAATTGCCAAGGCTCCACCATGGATCAGATAATGTGCTGGGTACTAGTAATAAATCATGCAGATATGGGCTCTAGCAGAGTGTGGGACTGGAGCTCAGAAGAGCAGCCTATACCAGATAAATTACTTCCCTCTTATAACCTTTCCAGGCTCCTCAACAGTCTCAGAATACAGTTCAAACTTCTAGGCCCTTCAGGAGATGACTTCCATTAATCCCTCCACCTTCCTCACCCAACCTAACACTCAGCCCACACTGAACTACTCCAGTTCTCCCTTCTGAACTTTGGCCTATGTTACTCCCATTATTTGGAATGCCTTCCCTCCTCATCCTTAGGTCTTACTTCCTCTAACATTTGCCAAATATCACCTCCAACAAACTCTCAAACTGAATTAGCCATTTCTCCTTTGTCCTCTTAAAACATTTCTGGTATCTCACCAATATATATCTTATTTACCCCAGTGTTCCCAGCACCCAACACAAGGCCTAGTACAAGCAGGTGCAAAAGGACTAAGGAATAAAGGCTATCTGAGCTTATCCCCAGAGTTGAGGAAGATCCTAGAAACAACACTGCCTTTTCATTGTTGGAACTCTTTAGCTCTCACCTAAGTCTATTCCTGATTCCCCATAACTTCCTGTGTTTGACGAGTCTCACAGGAAGTCAGAACAACCATGGTACAAGGACTACACAAGTAGAGAGAATGGAGGAATGTTCTGGGCATAAACCCATGGGTTTGAGTGTGGAAAACTAGCCATGGTATGGAGAGCTTGGAGGTGCGTATAAGAGTTCAGATGGCAATCAAATTCTTAGAAGGATCACACACAACTAACCTCTAGAGCAGGACTGGCTAAAGAGTTACATCTTCTTGGTGTCTAAACCTTTTGCCACCTCATGAGCAAGAGCTGTGCCCTTTCCCCCTAGTCACATTGCTGCCTGGGAGCCCTGCTGGCTGAGGCTCCAGCTACAGTAGCAAGGACTTGTTCTAAATAGAAGTAAATAAGCATGGCAGACCTGGTTCTTTTCTTATTACCCAGCTCCCTTTAATCTGAGCACTTTGAATCATGCTTTAGGTTTAGAGCAGCCTTTCTCTGTACTACTATCTCTGATTCCCCATTTTCCCAATTTGGCAGCTATAAGAAACCCTGTCCACTTCTACTCAGGCCACAGCTGCCATAATCCCAGCCCAGGACTAAGCCCCAGGATCCTCTGCTCATTTAGGAAGATTATGGATAATTAGAGAAGGGATTGAAGAGTCTCCTCATCAGTTCTCAAAAAGCAAGTCAAGGATCATAGTTGGGATTAGGAGCAGGTTCTTTGAAATTTGGCCAAAGACCCATGAAGACATTCCTCCCTGGTTCTGATACAGCTCAAGGCCTACCTAGATCCCAGAGCCTTTTCCAGGTAAGCTTCCAGCATGAACTCATCCAGAGGGCTCCCAGGCTCTCTTCCTCATCACTCTTAGGAAAACTAGGCCTATTATCGAGGCCTCCAGAGACTACCTCATTCCTAGTTCATGTCTCTGCCAACAACAAAGCCAGTGTACTTGTCCCTGTGCAATTCACAGCTCATTCAAAGGCATTATTAACACATGTTCTTAATGCTGGACTCCAACAGGAAGTGAAGAGGTGAGTCTGACACAATCACTGTCTCATTCCTCAAGAAACTTATCCTGGAGAGATATATCAAAGTCAAATATTGACCTGGGTGGGAATTTCTTCCACTCCCAATTATCAGTGACCAAATTCCACCAGCTTTCTTATTCTATAATGTCCTGTTCTTTAAATATTTTCTCTGTTCATGCTTTGACCTTTGCCCTTACTAATAGCCCCACACATATGGCTATCCTACTCTGACAATGTCCAAATCATCGTGCCCTCCCCACTTCTCCAACAAACAGGAGTAGGAAACTTACAGCTCTCCTTACAACTGCAAGGAAACCCAGCCAAACACATGAGAGTGGCAGGAAAACACTGTGACATTTCCTTCCTCTCCCAACCAGAGAAGCACCCTGACCTTTAACCTGCCCTTTAGACTTTAATAATCTCTGCTTTGTAAAATCAGTGCTGATATTTAAATCAAATGAAGGCCAAGTCATAATGGACACTGGCCACCCAAAATCTCCTTTTAACAGAAGAGGGCTTCTCTTATGGTTTCCACAGGGTGAGGAGTGCTGTCTGAAACTATGATGGATGAGCAACATACTCCCTCTTGTTCTAGAGATTAGGCTGTGAAATAAGAGAGACTTCAGGGATCTCACCAGCCAAAATGTAAACAAGATCCTAGAAACAACACTGCTGAATTTGTACAGCAGATTTGACCAGTGCTGAATTTGTACAGCAGATATGACCAGTCTCTTGTTGGCTTCTGGTCACCTTGATTAACCCTAGTAAGTTCCAATAGGAAGGGACACTACACCCCAGTGCCAGAACCTCTAATTCCAGGTTATGGACTTTGTCTTCATTTTCCTGGAACCACTATATCTCCCTAAGGCTCCCAAGTTGTATCCTGCAGACTATCTCACCAAATGACCTGCTGGCCTGAAGCCATGCTCTACCACAACCACCCTTGTGCTGCTGCCCACCCTGGCTCAAGATTAGTGTGACTGGTAGCCCATGCAATAAATTCAGCAGAGATGGAGAGGCAACTCTGATCCCTCCTACCCTGGGCAATATACACCCACCTTGACAGAGATGTGGCCATGCGCCTGGGGAAGGTGGGCAGCCAAGAACCAGTCCCCAGGTAACGGGCTGCTGACGTTAAAGATGCCTGAGGTGCGGTTGGGCAATGTCCAGCTGAGGGTCAGTGAGAAAACCCCAGGCACAGCTGTGTCCCCTGGGAAGTGTGTATGCAGGGGATTGATGACAGGGGGTGCCCCAGACCGGAAATACCTGAGGGACCAGAATTAGGAGAGAAGGAAAGCAGGCAATGGAATAGGAGATAGGAAATGGGGGAAAGAAAGGAGAACTGTACCTCATCATCAGAAAAACAAATGGATTCCCTATACTGACCCATACAATAAAGTGGTTCCAGGTTAGAAGTTCAGGCTATAAGGGGAAAAGGGTCAGCTCAGTTGCTCACACTATTATACAGTAGTCAGGAAGTAGTTAGATGACAGAGTTCACGGCCCTCAGTCACCCTCCAATATGGATAAGGGTCAAGATCAGGGTCAAGAGATCAGTTTACATACTCATAAAGTCACACTTTAGTTTGGAAAGTGTTCTGGATTTAGAAGGGGAAGTGGGAGGGCAACCCAGACACTTACACAGTCACACTTTGATCTGGGCAGTGATCTCCAAAGGTTCCTCCCTGCTCCTTGAATATGATGAGGTTCCAAACTGCCAGGAATGTGTCTTCAGGAACATGGAAGTGGAAGAGCTCGGTGCTGGCAAAGGAGCGAAAAGGACTCAGCTTTCGGGGTGAGCAGGTGGAGTAATCAGTCAGGAAAAGGCCTCCTAGGAAGTAGGAGAAAGATAAAAGAGCAGAACAGAACAGAGGGCATTTCCATTAGGCATGCCAGTCACCCTAACCATAGCACCAAATCAACAAATGCTCTCCTCCAAGCCAGGAAGTAGATCTCATGATGCCCTAGTAAGCATTTGGTATAATCCTTATAGGGACCTTGTTAAGAAGGGAAAAAAAAAGGAAAAAGAAAAAATATCTTATTTTACAAATAAGGAAACTGAGGCTCCTACCTAGACCAAACTGAGGATTTAAAACCAGGGCCCTTTAGATAATCAGCTGCCCCCTTACTTAGGAGCCATTGTTTTCTTCTTACCAAACCTAACAACCTAACAAAACAGAGGTACAGAAGGTGTGTTTGTTTGTTTGTTTGTGTGTGTGTGTGTGTGTGTTTGTGTGTGTTGGCATGGGCTCTTAAGCCACTGAGCAGGCTAGAACTCCACCTGTGGGGCCTGGGAGTCAGCATGGAACTGTGTAACTTCCTTGTTTATTTTCTGCCCCTTTCTGTTCCCTGGTGGTTAGGAGCAGCAAAATCCCTCAGAAGCTTCACAAGAGCTGTCTGTATACTAGCTCAGAGCAGGAGAAGGGAGGGGAAGGTGTGGTGAGGCTACAAGGGGGCCTGCTTGGGTGGCAGAGGCAAGAACAGGAGCTGGCAGACCACCAGCAGAATGCCCAGGAAAAGAGAGTCATTAGGCCCTCTAGGGTTAGAGTAAGCAGTCAGGGGTGTTTACCCTGAGGGAGGCCCT